AATCATATTGAATATTAGCCTGAAATTTTTTTTCTCAAACCTGGCCACCCCATAATAATTTTGTAATTTTTTCCCAAGCCTGGAGATAGGTAAATATCTGAAAACAATATTGTTGGGAAAATTTTCTCAAGCCCGCCAAAGACCATAATTGTTAGTTGAGAACTGAAATAAAATATTTAAAAGTCATAATTCATTTAAATAAAATCAGAATATGAAAGTTGTATGGGCTTGATTTTTTAATCAGGCCTGGCGATTTCTGCAAAAAAAAACTTTCAGACCAATGTCTAGCCCATATTTAAAATAAAAAAGTTTTCAAGCATTTCTATTTTATATTTTACCCAATATGATTTCTATCACAAATCTAAATTTTATTCTAAATATAAAATTAAATTTAAGACATTTTTTTAAATTATAAAAATAAATGGCAAAATTTTATAAAAGTTGCATGGGACTTGGTTTTTTGATCAGGCCTGACTATGTATGCAAAAAAAAAATTTTCAGGCCAATGTATAACCTATATTTAAAATTCAAAAATCTTAAAGCTTCTCTATTTTAAATTTTATCCAATATGATTTCCATCACAAATTTAAATTTTGATATTTCTAATAAATGCTCACGGTATACATTGCAACAATTTTACCTCTTTTTCTCCTAAATTTTAATATTTATATAAAATTTATTAATAAAATATATTTAGTACCATACAAACTAAATAATTACCCCAAAATTTTAAAAATATCAGCTAATAATTAATATATATATAATTAATATTTTAAATTTAATTATATTCAAGTTGGTGCATGCTTAAAACATACGCCTTTGAAACGGGACGTTTGTGGTTCGACTCTCGTAGAGAACAAAAAAATAACATTACACTATATAGTCTCCTTAAATTTTAAATATATTAGGAATATATGAAAACGATCATGTTTTGATTATGGAGATTATATATATTAGATGTTCAAAAACCAAAAGTGAAGCATCATGGTCACTAGCTATCGCTATAAAATGTATCGCATAATGTAACTCTGGGCAATTTATGGATATAATAAATATAAAATATTTTCTAAACAAATACAATCAACAAATTGGAATTATCCAAACATTACTATTTTTATAATAAATATAATGACTCACATGATCCAAAATGTTGGACAGTGAAATATTATTTCATCCTATAAAATAATTCGAGTTCAATACTAATAGTATTAGTGATTGCAAGTAGGTGCTACAGCTTATGACATTGACTCTAGCTGACTTTAATGTTGTAATATGTACTTTTTAATGAATAAAAACTAAATAAAAATTAAAGTTATTGATCAAAATATCGATCCAAATAACTATTTTTATAAATAATGCGAATGTGGAAATGATACATTCATGTATTCAATATGAAAATAGCGAGACATAAAACATTTTAAATTTATTTTTAGGGCTGTGCCGATCCATAAATTTTTCATCGATTCTTTCCGATATTACTGTAAAACCGATATGATAATAGATAAGATATTTATTATTATTTATCATCTATCTTTAAACCGTTATTAAAAATTAATATTTTCCAATAAAAAAGGCCTAAGTAATTTTCACGAAAGATTAAGTGTTTTGATTTTCAAAAAGTAAATCATCTCATTTAAAATTTGGCAATTAGCTAAATATATCGTTGCCAAACAGCATGATTTAGCCGATTTTTTAGAAGGGCTAAATTAGAAGCCAAAATAATATTATCTAAGCCCTGAATTTCGCCAAGAAATACTCAAACCTTTCTGTCATCCTATGAGAAAAATCTTCAAACTTGAGTAATTTTATATTTGCTACTTGAGTTAGCCGTTTTCAAAAATCGCGAAATCAACCCGTATAACAACATTAACCGAATGTGACTCGTTAGATATGTTTAAACTCTTTACTTGTTGCAGATATTATTACAAAAAATAATACCAAGTTTTTAGTTATACTACCTTTTAAAAGAATTCAATTTATTTTTAAAAAAATTACAAATAAATTGCATTTTGGTTCTTTTTATCCATATATTACTATGAAATTTTGTATAAAATAAAAAAAATTATATAATTATATATACAATCATAAAATAAGCAAAAATAATTAAATTTTGGCCCGGATCTGATATTTAATATTGGCACAGTCCTAATTATTTTAAATTATTCACACTGCTATCTAAAGTTAAATATAAGCTTTTTCCTAATCTTATAGAATTTCTAATTATCAATTTATTTAATAAAGATGAGAATATTAATTTTATTTTTATTTCCTATGCCCAAGTTATATTTAATTTTCTAGGCCCATTTTTAAGGTCCAAACCCACTTCGGGCAGGCTCGTATGATCCTATACCAGATTCCACAAGAACGGGATTTACAAATTTGAGCATTTTGTTAAAAAGTTCCTATCATTTATTACCTATTATGCTGTTTAAATAGAACAAATTTTTTAAAAAAGATATTTTTGCAAAGGGTAACATGACAAATCGACCAAAATAAGGTGATTTTCGGACGAACATTTTTAAATGAATGAAGCTTGGCATGAAGGCTAAATAGATTGTATATTTTATACAACTCAAAATTTTAATGTCCTAGCTCAAATGTATCCCGAGTGTGGGTCTTTAAAGTACGATGAGTGCCTTTTCCTCTTTTAACGAATCTTACAGGGTAAATTAATATAATAAAAGCAAAAAATTAAAAAGATTTAACCATATGTTTTTTTATTTTTATATAATACTCAAAAAATAAATGACGATCAAATATATAATGTATGACAAAACAGATTTAAAAAATGCATTAAAATATAAAAAATTGGATATTTTAATTTTCGTTTTTTCTTTATGTATTCCGATTTTCTATATTCCTTTAAAATATATTTAAATATAAATTATATTTTTATAAATTTACCTTAATTCAATGGTTGTCCTCGATAACCATTCTCCAAATATTGATGCATTTTATTATAATAACTTGAAAAGTAATAAGGAATAGTAAATTCATTAAGAATTGATGTTACATTATGAACGATTTCGTTTCTTGTATTTGGTTGGGGATTCATTGACCTATATTTGTTTTATAATACGCCAAAGAAAATCTCTATTGGATTAAGTTGAGGCGAATAGGGGAGCAAAATTCTACTCGCACTTTAAAACTATCAATGAGGTGACTTTTATGGATGGATGCATTGTCTATAACAATAACTGCATCCCTTGGTATGATATTAATTAGTTCTATCATATATTTTCGAAATAGTAGACTATTATAAGCTCCCTCGATGATGCGATAAAGTATAACACCTTCGATTCCCATAGTACATAATATACTTAAATTTTTACCATTAGATGGTGGGACTTTAACAGTTGGTATAACATTGTATGGTGCCCGAGAGTAAACAGGTACAACATGTAAATTTATGCCTGTCTCGTCTAAGAAAAATATTTTTTCTCTGGCTATATTCAATATTTTTATACAATAAGGGAGAATTGAATATGTATCAGATATATTAGGTATTGAATTAGAATAAATAGGATCAGGATTTGATGTAAATGAATTTGTATTATTCGTGTTAGTATATAAAATTTGTCGTATATTAAACATTTATGAATTAGAATAAACAGGATCAGGATTTGATGTAAATGAATTTGTATTACTATATAAAATTTGTCATATATTAAACATTTGATAAAAATATTAAACTGTATTTTATATAAAAAAATTTAAGTAATATAAAAATTGTAAATGCAAAAAAATTACATTAAAATTTTACCATATGTATTTTTGTAGTGTTTGTTTTGTTATATATTAATGAATCGTCATTTATTTTTTAAGTATTATGTAAAAATAAAGACACATACTGTTTCATTCTTTTAACTTTTTGTTTTTATTATAATATCTTACCCTGTAAAATACTCTAAATATTTTTTGTCTAAAGTAAAAATTTTATATCATTTTGTAGCCCTTAAAATTCTCCTTTAGAAAATGCAAAAATTATTTTAAAAATATCTTCAGTGTCGTTGAATTTTCGGCAAAACAAAAAAATATTATTTTGAAAAGTGCTCCATTTAAAATGATAACACTTATGAAATGTATTTATTACCAATATCTTTATATATTTAAGTAAAAATATGATTGGACAAAACAAGAATTAAAATTTTATTTAGTTTTTATAGTTTTAGGTATAGAAAAGTCAATTATAAAGAGCGTTTGACACGATGAAACTCATCAAATAGGTTTACTACCAAAATATTTCAAATTTATGTAAAAAATATAAATGGATAAAATAAGAATTTAAATTTAGTTTTTATAATTTTAGGAATAAATAAATCAAATAATATAAAAGGCGATATTTTTAAAGTAAATTATAACATATTTTATAAATAAGAACCATTAATATTTATAAAATTATTAAATGCACTAGAAATATTATAAAAATACATATTTTTTTATAGATAGCGCCTTATATTTTTTATTTAAATATATATATATACATTAGTAATAAACATATTTGATGAGTTTCATCGTTTCAAACGCCCTTTATAATTAATCTATTCCTAAAATTATAAACTAAAAAAAACCTAAATTCTTATTTTCTCCATTAATATTTTTACTTAAATATATAAATATATTGGTAATAAACACATTTCATGATGGAACACTATTCAAAATAATTTTTTAGTTTTACCTGATATATAACGACACTAAAGATATTTTTTAAATAATTTTTGCATATTCTTAGAGAATTTTAAGGGCTACAAATGATATAAAATTTGTTACTTTATACCAAAAAATATTTTGAGTATTTTAAGATCTGTTAAGAGGAAAAGACTCTCATCGAAATTTGAAGGCCCATAACTCTGGATATATTTGAGCTAGGGCAAAATTTGAATTCGTGTAAAGTATACAATCTATTTAACTTTTATGCCAAGTTTCATTCATTTTAAAAAGGTCATCCAAATCTCTGGTCGATTTGTCATGGAATTAACCAAGATGCCGTTATTTTTAACCTTGTTATTGGTCCCGAAATTAACAATACCAGTGGTAGAGGCGGCACTTCCTATGCCTATGCTGTGTGGTAACTTAGGAAGGGCATTGGACAAGGAAAGTTTCACATGCTTTTGGGGCATTTGAATTTTATTCACAGCAGTGCTAACAAAACTATTCAGAGAGTTATTATTAAGAATTATATTATTAGAATTGGAGTAAAGCATCATTCCTTTGCTACCACCCCCGGTTAGTATTGAAGGAAGAGAGGTTTGAAGTGGCAAAGAGGACCGATATAACATGGAGTTGCTATTGAGTGATTGTGGCAGAAGATTAGTGATGTTTTGGTTTGAGGTATTGATTATGCCTGAATAATTTTCAACCGTTAAATTATAATATAATTTAAATTAGAAAGAAAAGAAAGATAGCATTAAGCCCAGTAATAAATAAAATACTCCGTATCAAAAAAAATAACAAGTATAAATGATGTATGAAACCTTGAAAATTCGTAAAATTTATGATGGAAGAGCTAATGTTGTTTCCCATATTTGTGGCAAGGTTAGAAAAAGAGGTAGGTACCATTAATCCAAGCCTACCACCTTTCTTGTTAATAGATTGCGCGTTTTCAAGAGATGTGGGAAGGATTTGAGGTTCGTATTTTTGAATTTGTATAACATAATATTCCGCTAGATATTTTGTTTATAGATATTAAATTTTAAATTTTTTTGTAAAGTCTAAACTATAACAAGTTAATATATTAATACACCTTTATTTAAAAAACCATTAAATACAAATTAAAACTGGTAAAAACTTAACATAATTATTATAAACTGATAAATTTGGGTTCTTCCATAATTCAGATAACAATTAAAAAAGAGGTCAGCAATGCCTAAAGCCTGTGGAAATTTTCCATTGGGGTTTTTTAGTCTAGTATGTAATTATTTTTACCTGGCCCATAAAATATATTATGTACAAAATGCCCAGCCTATATATATTTTTTTTATGAAGGAAAACTACTTAAATTTGCCTAATTATTAACTTTACAAACATTTTTAAAACTTTGGCACAGCCCAGTTCATAAAAGTTCCATAATTTATATTGTTTGGCCCAAAAATCTTTTGTCAGCCTTTAATAAGAATTATATAGCCTTACTAACCTGTTGGTACAGGGGTCCAACTAATTTCCAAGCTTGTATTATTTGCCTTCACCAATTGAATTTTTGATGGAGCCATTGGTTTCTCACTTTCCAAAAACCACAAATCTTTGCAGCATACCTTTTTTTAAAGCATAATCTTCATGAATAAATAAGTTCAAAATCTTAATTAATTTATTTTGTATTTTAATCTCAAATTTTCTAAATAAACTTCATATCTTAAAAGTAGAATAAGTTGTTTTGAATTTAACTGGACCTAATTTTAAACTGAGGACTTAATATATAACTATATTTATATTAATACTGGTTAATTTGTAAAAAGCAAGCTTTGGTTTAGATAAGGCTAAGTCAAATAAAAATTGTGGCTTAAGATTAATACCTCAAAAAATTTCCTAAAAATGATTCAAATTGTTTTGAAATAACAGGATATAAATTAATATGAGTGTGATAGCCTGATTAAAGATATAGAAAAACTGATTGATATTTTTGTTTTAAATAGAAAAATCAATCATTTCATTTCTAAATTTATAAAAAATCTGATTTTTAACTTGATTATTCCAAGCCTTTCTATAACCATCCCTTCCACTCCATATATAAAGTCTTTTATTAATTGTAACAGCACTATGCCCAGCTCTAGGTCTTGGTAAATTATCTTCATACAAATCCAATGTTAATGGTTCCCATGTTAATGTCTCTTAATTTCGGTAGAAATTTAAATCATTAACTAATTATATAAAATAATAATATATTATAGAACATAATTATCAGAGGCCTGTGGGGGTATCAATGCAAAGCATGGCTTGGGTTTGTAACCCAACCTAAGTTTTACATTTCCAGGCCTTGCTGCTATAATTTCTTTTAAATATTTGTACATTCAGCCCTATTGTTTAAAATTTTTTTTACTGCCTAGGTTTTACAAAAAAAATTCATAGTTGGACTTAAGAAAGAAAGATATCAATTTGGAATTTAATTGTTAATTTTTCAGCTAATTCAATATAAAATAACTTTAAAATTATTTTTAATCTTGAAGATTATTATTTAATTAATACCATGGAAAAAGAGAACTTACTATTTATTTTTGACTAAATGCATTTTATTTTGCAATGCTGTATATCATTGAATAAAAATTACAATAATTTGTCTCTTAAATTAATAACTATTTTATTTATCTGGTATAGTAGAATGGATAATGACAAATTAAAATTGTGTCATTTAACAAAAAATTTAAAAAAATAGATACAATAGTAAGCTTTCCGTAGGGAGAAAGTTCGAATGCTATCAATGTGAAAAGTATGGCGGAGGTAGGAGCGAAAGGAGAAATGGATATTGAATGTAAAACCGTGTCAAGTGCCGAAATGAAGGGCATTGGGCAAGGGATGATATGGAATGACTATATGGTTGTGAGAAAGAGAGAATTCAGGTCAGGGCTGAGAACGGACTGGGGAAAAAGGGTAAATGTCACAGTTAGTGAGGATTCGAGTTTTAAATGTAATCAGGATCAGTCATGATTTATATTTTTCTAATTAAATATATGTATTCGATTTTTGTTCATCCTGTATTTTATTTTTAAGCTATTTTTAATTTATATAGGTTTATTTTTAGTTTTAGAATGATTTTTTATAATAATGTTATCTTAAGCTATTTTTTATATTATTTTTTTACAGGAGCTCCCATATAAAAAGGGATCAAATTGTAATGATAATTCATTTTTTTAGTTTAAATCCTTGTAAATTTAAAATTATTTTTTTGGACTCATATTGAAATAAAGTATTGGAATTAATTTTGGGCTGAAATTTGATTGGTATTCATCCTAGATAATTTTTGTCTTCAAATAAGTGTTCACAACCAAAACTATTTAACTTTTTTAAATTAAATAATTAAGTATTTTCTAAGGAAATATAAATGGCTTTGAAAAGGAAATATGAGATGTAAATAGCAGAGTTGTTAATATAAATATGTAGTATCTGTATCTAGATATATTTTTTAGAAAGATATCTGTATCTATATATTTTTTTAGAGGTATCTGTATCTGTTTTAGATACTTTTTAAGATACATTTTATATACCCCTTTTTTTTATTATAAATAAAAATATTTGACTGTAAAATTTATTTTATTTCATATGAGCTTATGAAATAAATAAATATATATATATATTAATATTTATTAATACTATAATAAAGAATTATATATACATAAAATATTAAAACTTATATATAAAAAATATATATAAATATTCATTAATTTAAATATTATGTCCGAGTTTATCAATAAACCATATAAATTTTAATATTACAATATGGAAATGGTAAATTTTATTTTATAACTAAATTTTTAAGTTTATATATTTATTTAGATCTATATCGATGAAGAAGAGGAAGCAACAACAAGTTCTATTGCTTTACCATGACCTTTTCACAATATAATATTAATTTAGGTTTATGCAAACCTATAAGAGCATAATAAAAAATGTATCTGTATATAGATACATTTAAAAATTGTATCTGTATCTAGATAACTTTTGAGACTATGTATCTGTATCTAGATCCATTTAAAAAGTATCTTTTAACAACTCTGGTAAATAGTAAAAGTCTATGGCCCAGTCCTATCGGTCTTAGACGAGGACCATACTAATATTTTTTTGAGGTACACAGTCTGGATTGTCCAGACTGGTCGTAATTTTGTTTTATTATTTAATTAATCTTATTTTTTTAACTAATTTTTTTTGTGTATTTTATTTTATGTTTTTTTCTAGAATATTTATTTTATTTTTTAATTAACTCATTTTCATTTTGCAATATGAAAAAAACCATAAGTCTATCAGAGAAGCATTTTACTTAGTCCCAATAAGCAAGAATTAAAAGAGGTAAAAACAAAAATATTTAAAAAAAAAAAATTTTAAAAACCAGTCCAGGACCCATTTCTTTAATTAGGACCACTAACTGGATTGATTTTTTTAGACCATGATCTGGTCAAAGAACATTGATCTGGTTCAGACCAAAGATCAGACCTTGCACTAGATGAAATGATACAATGAAACATTTTATATAATAGTTGTTCAAAATATTCAGCCCTGACAAGGTTTATAGAAGCAAAAAAATAATCTGTCTGACCTAGGTTTATTTTCAAAAAAATTTATACTGCCCTTGTATACCTAGGCCAAGCTTTGGGGTGAGGTTGCTGGATTTATTTAAGATATCATGATGATTTAGATAAAGAGCTCTCTATAGATTAAAATAGTTATTAAAATAATTATCATAAAAAAAATTAATATATATATACAATATAAATAAAAAAACCTAAGTTTAACACTGCTAACGAATTAGTACATTTCCATTCTTTTTCATGTGAAATTGAATCTGCATCTTCTTGCAATAAAGGCACCCATCCTCCAAATATAAACATTCTATATATATATAATAATCATAAATTAAAGCTTATAACATAATTAAAACTTGTTGCCTATTAAATTTGCAGAATGTAAGCTTCTAGGCAAAGGTGGAATGCCATTTAATTGTGGTTTAATCCACTGCATAGAATCTAGACATCATATTTTGATCATTACAAATTCAATATAAAATGTACTTATATCAAAAATCCATAGATCACCTAGTCTATTACCATTCATACCTCCATAAAAAATTATCTGGGGTGATTTTCCATCCTTTCCCATGTGGGCCACTGCACTATGGCTTTCTCTGGGAGAAGGAGGAGTTCCATGAGTGGTAGGAATATCCCAATTCAATGAAATACAGCTGGGATTTAAGTCTAGCATATATAAGTCATTCAAATATCTAATTTAAACTAGGTTATGATTCAAAAATTACAAAAAACCTTGGAATATTAATCTTGGGATCATCACTGTCATTAGCTAAACCACCAAATAAATAAACTTTGCCTAAAATAAGTGTAAAACTATGTCCTAATCTAGCACAGGGGATTGGACCATGTTTAGGTGGTTTAGGTTTTAATCTTTTCCATTCCCATCTACTTGCCTAAAATAAAAATAGATTTTTTTAAAATAATAATTATTACTTGTAATTCATATAATTCATTTGAATATTGTCCATATTCTATCATGCCCCCAAAAATCAATAATCTAGTACCATCACATACAAATCCATAAGCTGCACATCCAGGTGGAATATCACCTTTAACAGATGGTGTAAACCATTGATTTGTGGCTAAAAAAATTTTTTAAATATTTATAAATAATAATAAACCTGTGTTAAAAACATGCAATTCATCAACAATTCCTTCATTGCCACCTCCAAACACTACCATTAACTCTTTTATCGCGACAGCCCTGTGTCCATGTCTAGGTCTTAGGGCTGGCCCTTGAAAATTAGTCACTTTTCTCCAATTTAGTATGGTGGCTGCCATTTTAATTTTAGTTCGTAGAAGAAATGATGAATAAATTGCAATTTTATAATTTATAAATTATCGTGATTATTTATAATTGTAACAAAGTAGGGTTTTGACAATATATATAAATACTATTAATAATAATTATAATTTATCATAGTTTCGGGTGAAAGAAAAAATTTGGACCTGAAATAAAAAAAAATTTCTCTTTCTTATATGATAATAGATTAGATTGTTTTGTTCAATAGTTATTATTCGTATTTGATATAATATTCCAGAATATTATTCAAATAATAATATTTTTAAATGCAAATATTTTTGTATAAAAATTTATGATATGGATGTACATAGCCGTAGCCAGGAATTTTCAGCTAGGGGGGCTAGCTGCTTACTTGAGGGGTCACTATATTTTTTAAATAAAACAAATAAATAAGTATTCATAGAAATTTTTTGCTATTTTTATTAAAAATTTATTAATGTAATATGAATACAAAATAATACTATACAAAATAATACTATAATATAATACGACGATTTTTATATTTAAAATATAAATAAATTAAAGGATAAATGTTGTGTTATTCTTTTTTCATAAGCCATCAATATTAAATTTTGCTTACATTGATTCATTGATTTTCTAGTGCTCTAGAACTCTCTTTATTGTAGAGAAAGAGGCCACACAAGAAGCCGTTGGTATCCTAATGATGATGGCTGCTGAGTAGAAATTATACAGTTCTTTAAATGCATGATGATATTATTTTTATGCATAATATTTAGGATATTTACAAACTTATGTGTTTCTTTAACTTCTGCAGCTAATAATTCTTTAACTATTTTCATTTCATGATGTAACGTTTACATATTTAAGTTTAATAATTATTTTAATCGGGAAATTTTATCCGATATATAATAATCAGGGGCAAAGGGGGACAATGCATTAAAACATTATAGTATAGTCATCTTGTGTAAATCTATCTAAAAAACGATCAACACAATGTAATCAATAATTTCATAATAATTTCTTTTTAAAGAACTCCAATTGGAGTCTTTTACACAATCAAATCGTAATATGGTCTCGACTAAAAAATCTTGAAAAATTATAGGCGTCTTACGTACCCTTGATGATATCTGGGGAGTGAAATTAAATTTTGCTAAAAGTTTTTCAGGCTTCTAATCAAATCAAAAGAATTATCGCTTCTTTTATTTTTTGATATATTGATAGTAGAATCAATACAATTTTTAGCATCCACTAGATTAGTACCTTCTGACGGTAGATACTTATTTAGTGGATCTATTGTTATTATATCTCATAAATTATAATGGCTAATATAACGTAATTTATATTAACGCATTGAGATACAAGACCAGAGTTTTAGATTAAATCATGAGAGGAAACCTCTGAATTAAGAGTTCTATTAGAAAAGTAAAATAATACTTCACTAATAGCCTCAAAATTCTCATAGATGCGAAATGCTTTTAAATGACCACTTCACCTCTGGTCTAAAAGTCTCTTAAGAGTATGGCCTGCTACAGGATATGTTAAAGCGCCTAAAGATTTATACAACGTATTGTATAAATAAAAATAAATAGAAATTAACAATATTATTATACCAATTTTGAACCACAAGATGCAACATGTGGTTGTAACAATGTATTAAAGTAACATTTTATTAATTTTTTTTTGAAGTAGGGTTTGCACTCTTTCATTTTGGCCAGACACAACGTTTACCCCATTATATGCCTGACTTATTATATTCGCTGAAATTTAACTCATTAATTTGCTTTAAAATGCAATTAGTAATGATTTCCAGCAGAAAGACATTCTAAATTAATAATTCATATTAAATTTCTTAGACTTCTCCAGAAAAAATATAACGTAATTATGTTCAGATTTTCACAATCTTGTGCATCATTTGTCTCATCAGCCTTAAGATTAATAAAAGGTATCTCTTGTTATATTTATCTGAAATATATTCAAGCACCATATCTGCCATAATAGATATTACTTCGATTTTAATCTGGGGTGATGTAAATTGGGCATTTTTGGGTATAAATTTTATAATTTTATTTAATTCAGGATCTTTTTGAAGGGTGCATGAAAACATTACTATCAATAGTCTAGAAGAATAATTATGTTTTCATCAGTTGTAGAATCCGTAATTTTTTTTAAACCAATCCCACGAAAAGGTAGCTTCTGTATGCTAAGAAATAGCATAAAATAAATATTGATTTAAGATAGTAAAGATTAGGTTTATTTGTTAATCAAAATTGTTGTTTTCTCACTATTTTTTTTTCATAATTCTAAAATATTCACCACTGTTTTAAATAACTGGTTATATTATAATTATAATAATGTGATTGAATCATAATAAATAAAATAATTATTATTGAAATATGTACAATTTAAACGTGATTAAGCGCCTATATAATGTCATACACAAACACACATGGAAATGATAAAATATGAATGAATGATGATTTATTATTGGACAAAAATAAATTAGTATAGTAAGAAATTTACAAACTAGACATGTTTTTTGAATAATATAATATTACACAAATTTTTTTAAATTTGGGGGGCCGGAAAAATTTATGGGGCCAAAGATTTTTCCTGGAAGCTAGGATTGGGGGGCAGGGTTGCCAGGTCAAAATTTTTAAATTGCGGGAAAATTTTGGTATTATGCGGGAGAAATATAAAAATTGGAGTAGAAATATAAAAATTGCTAAAAAAATTTTTTGGGCGGCCTTCGGCCGGGATTTTGAATTGACTTAATTATCCGCCTATTATTTTTTATAATTAGTATATATACAGTGTTGTGATGATTTAAAGAAACATATTGACGATTAAATTTAAACACATTCATATAAAATGATAATATTTGCAATAATAATTAAAATATAGACAAAGTATTATTGAAATTTCTTTTATTATTTCTTTTATTGTACATTTGTAAAGATTATAATTATATATGCATGTGTTTGAATTAAATCGTCAATATGTTTTATTAAATCATCACAACACTGTAAATAAAAAGTCGGTAACTATTTTTCATAATAAAATAACATCTTGATTTATTAAAATATATTAATTTATAAAAAAAAACCAACGATCATTTTTAAATATAAAAGAATGTAAACAAGATAAAATTAAAAAACGATTTTAATTTTATAATTAAAAATATATTTTATGCGAATGTTCCGCAAAACGACCGCAATTGGAAATCTACCGTGTGTATGCATAACATTTTAGGGATACCGCTTAATTATCACGTATCACGTTTAAATACATAATAAGGTACTCCAAAAATAAGAAATAATACAGATGCAACTATAGTTGCGGCAATTGTATTCACTTATCTTATAGTACAACATTCACAGAGATACTTATCATCACAATGTTGGTAGAATCTTTTTCTCATAATATTTAACGACTCTAATATAAATGAAAACTATACTGTAGAACAAAAATGAGCAAGGCTATCATCAATGTTTTAGGACCTAAATCCAGTAAGTCAATTCTTGACGATTTGAAAGATGGACATATATATATATATGCAACAGATGCATCTAATCAACAAAATTAAGGTCGTTTCAATAATATTAAATTTTTTCCCCTCAAATAGTTAAAAATCCAAAGACATAGCTTATAATGATAAATATATCAGATTCGAGATTATCAATAAATTACATGTCAGCTTTCTGATCTGATAATGCCTCAGTGAATTTGGTAAAAACAGAGTATATTTACAGAATTGAGTCAGCACAATGTTGGTTGCGATCTGTTCCTAATACCCGCCATCGATGGAATTTTAAAATTTTATAAACCTTTAAAATATTTCTTAAATAAAGATTATAAAAGCTGTCCTAACATTTTGAAAATTTTTTTCAATAATGAATGCCAGAGGTATATTTATGAATGATTTCACATGTAGGAAATCTACTACTGACTGTTAATGTGTAGTTACAATCAGAAGAATCTTAACAAAGATTCACAAAAATATGCTGCAGATGTGTTCATCTTTACAGTTAAAAATTGAAAATAAATTTTATGCAACCATTGTTAAAACTTAATTATATTTTATTTGAGATTTAAATAATAGAACTAAATATTTACCGTCTTTATTGAGATATTTATAAATTTCCTGGCATGATATATTATATATTTGTTAACCATTAGCTCGGCCTCTAATGTTGTTAGAGCAATCAGATTTCTCTCCTTTTTCCAGGCAGTTCTCATTAGGCTAAAAATACGCTCGGATGAGGCAGTAGAATGAGGTAGGAGAAGACATACTGGCATATTTTTTCCAAGCATGGGGATTTATCGTTATTACGAAAAAATTCTACCCATTTCTCCTCTGCTTTTAGACCGTCTAACTTTAAGTATATTGGCGAATCATAAAAAATAAAGAGAATCAAAATCTCCTCAAACAAGACATCAATGTCTTTCGGTATTTTTAATATATTTATTAAATTATATAAACCATCAATTGATGGTTTCTGTTCCAAGGTCATATATTTATACATTTGTAAATAGAGTTATTAAAATCAAATTTTGATTGTAAATATTCTAAAATTGTCTTAATAAAAATATCTGCTTCATTTAAAAATGTATTAATTAGAGTATTATTTGAACATTTTAATATAATATTTATAGCAATAGCGCCATAAAATTTATTATCAATTTTTAACTGTAGAGATGAACAGAGCTGTAGCCTGATTTTGTGAATCTTTATTAATAAAGAATATTCTGATTGCAACTGAATATTAACTGCATGAAATAGATTTCCTACATGTAAACTAATCCCAAATATGCTTCTGCCATTTCATACTCGAAAAAATATTTCAAAATTTTTGGACAGCTTTCAAAATCTTTATTAAAGAAGTATTTTTTTCAGGGTTTATAAAATTTTAAAATTCTATCGATGGCAGGTATTAACGACAACCACCTGATAGGTATATATCGTAACAACTCACACCATTCCAAGTCAGACTACTTCACCAACTCTTTTAATTCATTAACTCTTTTAGTTGATGAATTTGTTAAAACATTTCATCACAATTATTTCGACATCCGCAGATAGCACATTAATTGCCTTCTTGCAAGAATTATGTAGCATATGGAATACAACCAATTGGTATTAATTCATTATTGTGCTACCTCAATTCGGTAAATTTGGGTTTTGCCAAAATTTACAGAGGCATTATATCATTATGTGGCTAGCTACATTGTTATATTTTTCACTATCCGAGGAAAGAATTTTAACAGTTTTAATGAAATGTTCTTATACTTGTTGAAATAGCTAAGGATCGAGGGAAATGTTTTAATATTACCCTTTGCATCTTTTAGAATTGCATATGGATGCACATCTTTCAAATAGTCTAGAATTGACCTCTAGGATTCAGGTACTAAAACACTTGTGATAGCCTTGATGATTTTTGTTGTGCCACTAGTAAGGTTTGCACTTATATTGGAGTCGTTAAATATCATGAGAAAAAGATTCGACCCACTTTGTGATGATATAGCTCTGTGAATGTTGAACTACATTATAGATGTATACGATTTCAGCAAATGTAGTTGCGTCTGTATTATCTATTATTTTCGAGAATATTTTTGTATTGCAATCGATGTTGATATACTCCCCTGTACTGACTTATATGAATGAAATGATGTTGATTTATTATTGGATAAAAATAAAACAGGATAAAAAGAAATTTACAAACTAGACATGTTTTTCGAATAAATATTTAAAATATATTTTAAAAATATAAAAATAATCAATTAATGTCTCTCAAAATTATTATTTTTATATAAAAACGTTAAAATACTTTTAAAAAATTTGCGGGAGAAATTAAAAAGTTGCGGTAGATTTTTGCGGGAAATTTTCAATTGCGGTAGTTTTGCGGGAAAGAGATGTCTGCGTGTAAACTAAAAAATTGCGGGAGTCTCCCGCTGATGGGGGGAGACATGACAACTCTGATTGGGGGCCAAAAAAATTTAGGGGGCCTGCTCTCCCTTCTTTTTCGTAGCTACGGCCCTGTGGATGTTTTGAAGGCTAAAGCTACTCTTTGGAGATTAAGGATTAGCACCCAATTTTTTAAAATTAGCACACAATTTTAATATTTAATTAATTATAAATTTTAAAAAATACATTAAATATTTCATTTAAATAGCTTTAGTAAGAAGTTTGTGGAATTAAATTATTTATTATAATTTATTTCCTCTCACCAAGCAAAAACATTAAAGTATTATATATGAGAAAATAATGTTAGCTGTTTTTTTTAAAGCTAATAAGTTTTAATATCAATGTCTCCTACTGACTCTTCTAACCCACCATCTTATCATCATTCACTACAATATCATCACCAACGACCTTCTACCTCTAATTTTTGGCCTCAAAAACCAGCACTCCTAACCTCTAATTTTTGGCCTCCAAAACCAGCACTCCCAAAACCTCTACGATTTTCTGCCTCATATTCTCGATCTCCAAAATCAGCATTTCCACTTAGTATTGGGACCCCACCCACATCATTTAACCAGGCTTTTTCATACCAAAGTTCTTATACCTTTAACTACTGGATCCCTCAATCTCCTTCCTATCAACGTCCTTCTTCCTCAAACTTCGGGCCCCTAACACACCCATATAGTACCGATCCCATCCACACAATCTCTACCAACTACTCAAACAGTAAATACAGATAACCCCCCCCCCCTATCAAGAGTGAAATAATAACTATAATAAAAAAACAAAAAAAACATAAGGCTTGCGGGCTAGATAATATACATAGTGAGTTTTTGAAAACTGACCCAATTTTATGCGCGGAGATCCTCCTTCCAATTATTACCAGTCTGGAGTGAGGGATCTTGCCTAAGTGATTGGCTAACAGGCATCCTTATCAATTTTCCAAAAACAAAGAGTCCTAAATGTCTCGGGAGAATTTCACATTCGGTAATCAATAAGATATTTATCAACATATCCTTAATAGACTCAGACCATTAGTGGAATATGATTACCTAGACTAAATAGTATCATTCAGAGGGGCATAATACACATGAAGCCATTCTTGTGTTAAAAATTTAAATCGAAAAATCTATTATATGCAAAAGACAATTGATTATCATCGCTCTTGATTTCAGAAAAGCATTTGATTAAATTATTCATGCTAGTTTGTGGAAGGCCTTGGAAGAGGTAGGCACACTAATACATCTGATAAAAATTATTTATAAAAACTGGTTCACCTAATTCATGGAGGGAAGAAATCCCCGAAAGTTCCTATAAAAATTGTATTGAAACAGGAATATGTCTTGTCTCCCATTCTGTTTTACTTTATTACTAATTATATCATAAAGAAAGCCAAAACATCTTGTGCTGTTCAGATGTCCATCGGGAACTTTAATATTCTGGCATTTGCAGATGAGTCTGGTGGGAGAATTATCATTACACCTTCAATTATTAGTTGATAACATTGATGAAGCTAGATTCTTTGAATTAGAAATAAACATTAATAAAACTAAGATGATGACTTCATCAGTCGCCCCTTCGCATATGAATATAACGATTCAAGGGAAGTTGGTGGCAGAAGTTTAACATTTAAAATATTTAGGAGTAATATTAAACAAGAAAGGAAATACTAAACAGGATATAATAGACCATAGGCATAGCCAGGATTTTCCTAAGGGGGGGGGGAAGGGTTATTAATCCTATATATATATTTAAAAATTTTTTTTAACAAATAATAAGTCCGGAAGAAATATGATATATATTTTTATTAGTTTATTGTTAATATAGATAGATCACACAAAAATGTGGTATTAATTTATGTTATGTGTAATATTAGATAGATCATACAAAAACGTGGTAATAATTTATAATGTTATATCTAATTTTCTTTTAGAATTTGATAATTTATTAATTATTTTAGTATTATCTGGTGTTAATTCCCGATGAATATTTAATAGCGCTAAACCATTTATTCTATTTTGCGAGGTAGTATATCGTAAGTATGTTTTTAGTCTTCTTAAATTAGAGAAAGTTCTTTCATTTGTACATGTCGTAATTGGGAGACATGCTAAAATTTGAAATAATTTTGTTATGTTCGGAAATTCAATTTGTTTACAAATATTCAGTGCATTTAATGCATTATCAGGCTTTATATCCATTCTTTTTAAATTGGCAAACCAATATTTAAATTCACTTATTACTTATAATTCGGTCCCTACCATATCTTGCAAATAAAAATTATATAAATACTGAATTTTATTTCTAATGTCATCCGAAATGTTCACAGATGGATTAGAGGATAACAAAATTTGAAAGTTACTTAGCAAAAGTTTATGGTTTAATAAACGTTCTTTAATCTGAGTTAAAAAAGTGTCCATAAGTGGTATAAAAATAATAATTTTGTAATACTCCTCAACTGATTGTAAGGAAATATTATTCCTATGTACTTGTCTTGATACTATTCTTGGCATGCTTATTATCATATTATAAGATTGCACTTTTTTTTTAACTTTGTTAAAAATCGTTCTAAATTCACAATCAGCATTTTTTCTTATCTGTAAAATAGCATTATATGCATCTTCAGTTAAGATCAATGCCTGAACCATATCTTGGTTCACTCTTTGCAAGGCTCTGCATAATAATATTGTGTGGCAGAAGAGAGTGTTAATACAATTAATGGCCAATAAAAACTCAGGACCTTGAATCGATTTCAAGATTTCATTGGCTTCTGCCACCACTGATGTATCTGTCCATCCCCATATTTCATTCAAGGCAACAATTATCGGGTCAAATAATTTAAGAAAAACTGCATCCGATTCATGTGGTAGGATCCATCTCAGAATATTTTCGAGGACATTAGATCTTTTTGGATACTTGAACATATCATATACCTTGGCTATTGTGCCTTTTTAAATATATGATTATAATTTAAATAAAAGTTTAATAAACCCATGGTACTACGAATAACGGGAATTGAGCAACAATCAGAAATGGCTAGATTTAGGGAATGCGATGCACAATGTACATAAATTATAGTAGGATATTTTTTTATTAAATGATTGAATATCATTTAAATGTCCACTCATAGCAGGGGCACCATCATATCCTTGTCCCTGCATAAAATTAACATTAATTTTAAATTTTTTAAGATGAACATCAATTGTGTTAGCAAGACATTCACCTCTCATATCTTGAATCGGAATAAATTGCAAAAAGTCTTCTTTTATTTGAACTTCATCTATATAAATGATAATAATTTATATAAAATAAATATAAATTTTACCATTTTCAGAATATAAATATCAAGCACACAAGGACATTTGCTCTATGCCAGATATATCAGTTGATTCATCTGCCAAGACTGAAAAGAATGAAGACTTGTTAATGTTGGCAACTACCTTTCTTAATATTAAATTATAACACACATCAATGATTTCGTTTTGAATGGTGGGGCTTAAATACGTAGCATTTTTCGGTGCATTTAACAAGTTAATCCTGAGCTCATCATCTCCAGTTTCTAGAATAGCTCTAAAGTTCTCATCATTTTCATTTGTATCATCCTTAAATATACAACCTGAATCTCGATGACCTCTTAATGCCATACATTGATTTCCACATGTAATTATTGCATCTATTATAGGAGATAATTTTCGTCTATTTTCATTTGCTATTTTCTTTTACCTTGATTTTTATAAAAAATAAATAATTATAAGGCCATAAAATATGAAACCCAAAAGGTTGGCCATTTAAACTGGTACCTTTGTGGGTCTCTTATAATAATTTTTAATGGTTTACCTATTATATGAATGATAGAATCTCTATCATTAGCATTAATTGCTCTAAGAGATGATATAATATTTTGTGTATTTTTAAGGTATAAATTGTTTTGATGATTTTCAAAATTCTCTCCTGCATCTTTCCAACGTCTATATGGGCAATTCACAAGTCGCTTTAATTATTGTTCACCTTTACCAGCATATTTTGGTCCAAATAGAACACAATATTTACAATAAGCCCCATTTTGTGAAGGTGAATAAGCCAACCAAGGCCAAGTAAACCAATTAAATTAAATTTTTAATTTCCTTCTAGAAAGATCTCTTGGAAATTTATAATTATTGGGTGGCCTATATATACTCTCTAGTATATTAAAGTCTTTGGGGGCTACATCCAATTGAACATAATTGCTTATGTCAAATGGTAAAGTACCTAAATAAACTATTTACATATTTTTAAAATAGAAATTTTACTATCCATATTTTGAACTCTTGACTGTATAAGATTTACTGCAGATCTTTCATCAACAATATTAACTTAAAAAAATGCAAATTACATAATGATATTAAAATAAAATATATTGGGACTACCTGGATGATAGGATTACTTTTCTCATTCTCTAGCACAATCTCTAATATTTGATCATCTTTTTGAGAATCAATAACAACTAATAATAATAATTATGTTAATATTCAAATAGTTCTTACTTGAATCAAGGTCTCTTATATTTAGAGAATTATTATCTCCCAGCAACATCACTAAAAAAAGATATATAAATTCATTATAAATATAAAATATTCGTTCATCAATCCTTGTTAAATTTATTATAATTTCCTGCTTTTTTGATATATTTTCATGATTGTTACATAATATTTCTGATACCCTATTTTCACTTGAAATTGAATCAATTTTCTTGCGATGATGATCTTGGTAGGAAATTAATGTTTATTATAATAAATATAGAATTACCTTTTTCATTTACATTCTTTAAAATATATTTTCTGATGTCCATATCAATCTTAAAACAAATATAATGCTTGTTGCTCGGTCAAAAAATTGCAAAATATATTTTAAAAATAAATTGGAAGGAAATTTAAAAAAAATGGGAATATGGTTATGTTAATTTTTTATTTAATTTATAAATTAATTATATTAATAATTTTGTAATTAAATTTTACTTTTAAGAAAAATAAATTAAAATAATTCACTATATAAAATTATAAAAAATCATATTTATATATTATTTTACTTAATATTTTTATAGATCTATTAATAGTAATTATATAAAATTAACTTTTGTCTTATTATATGGCTTATATTTCATTTTTTAAAATACATTTTTGGTATCACTTTTTTAATATATATTTATATATAAATCTTTTTAAAAAAATATAAATTATAGTCAATAGTTTAAATTTAAAAAATTATTAACTCTCATTATTTCTTTCATTATTGTTTAAGAAGATATATGCATACATTTTTGAGAGACAGGGAGTGGGGAGGGGACAAAGGAACGTATTTTTTATTAGTTTAAAATGATATTTAAGAAAAAAGTGATATATTTCTGAAGGGGGGGGATTTCCCTTTGTACCCCTCCCCCCCTGGCTACGCCTATGTAATCAAATTAAATAATGCTAGATTAAAAAGGCCTTTAATGAAAATATGATTATCATATCAAATATCAATATCATTGAAAATCGGTCTATTCAAAGTTCTAATACTTACTTCCTTGTATTATATTATAGAAACTTGGAGTGGCACTAAACATGATAAAAATAAGATGCAAACCTTTGTTTATAAATGCCTTAGATATTTGATCAAAACCTTCTTCCCACATAATACAACTAACTATATTCTTTGGTCCAGATGTGACACACTCCCAATTTATAGAATGGTAGAATACAGAAAAATAGAACTAGTAGGCCATATCATGAGACCCGCCCCTAAAAATTTAATATATGAAACACTCTTTATAATATCCCCTGAGGAATCCACTCTCAAACCCTTCCTAACCTATAAAAACAGTTATTTCGGCAAGATAACTAGATCATTAGCGGAGATAGGTATTTATTGGGAATTCATTAAGCGAGCTTCTGCTGATAGGAAAACTTATAAAAAATTTCTGACATCTACGAACACCTGACGAATGACTGTTAAGACAAACTTAAATAATAATAAAAAAAATTGTTAAAGAAATAGCCTATATCCAATATTATCCTTATAGATTTAAGTAGGTCCTCCAATACTCTTTAACTGTTAGCACTTAATAAATAAAATAATACTCAATTTATATATAACTAGTCAATATTTAATATAATATTTTAAGTTAAGAAAGCTCTTCAATATTATTCAAGTCCTAGTATTTAAAAAAGTGTTATTCAGCTTCTATATAATTAATGTCTGTTGAAGGAACTTATTATAAGAAATGATATTACATTTATTTAAATGAGAACTGATTGTGAGAAAATAAATTTTTTTAAGTAAAGATATTAAAATACTTCATGGATATTATGGTTCCAATTTTAGTCAGTTATAAAGTAATAAGGTATATTAAGGTTATTTAAATATTAATTTTAAATAATTTTAACTTAAATAAAATTTAACTAGATATTTCTCATAATAGGAAAATTACTAAATAATTTAAAATACTAGTAGTTTTTTAAAAAAAATATTGCAATAGCTAAACAGAAACCCTAAATAATTAAATAATAACTATTTTGTATTTGGAAGAAATAGCCTTCTTTTCTTCTCTCTTATTACTCATAACTAAATAATACTTTAATCGGATAGGGTGTAGTTCCACTCTTTTAAGATAAAACTACTGAGTTACAAGGTTTGGTAGTGTTAAATATGGATTATTATTATTATAATGGTTATTATTTAACGAAAATTTTGATATCTTACATTCATTTAATTAACACCATTTTTTCATTTAATTGTTTAATAGATTTTATATATATATAAAGGATAAATTTATATATAGATTTTTAGTTAAAAATATAGTTAAATTGTAGTTTAATATTTTTTAAATACATTATATAATAAAACATTTTTGTTTATTGCCTTGATCCCTGCTAACCTTTTCATGGTGGCAGCGGTGGGATATACGATTTTAAATTAAATTAATTTATTTTCAAAAAAAAATAAAATATAAATTAGATCAAATGGATCAATCAACTATGAGGAGAATTGTTAAGCTAGACATCAAACTACGGAGCTATCATGTATAATGGAAATGATTACTAAAATTGGGATATAATGACTTACAAATTATTCTAAATCCACAGACACGATTGATTTTAGCTACTAGAATGTAGACAACTAGATATAAAATATTTCTGGAATGTAATATTTATATTATTCTAAAAACACGTAAGATATGATTAATTTTAAAAAAAAGTGAAGAATAATTAAAAAAAAAAAATTTTTTTTCACTAAATCATGAATAGACCAATTTGGGATACTAATAATAAAACAAAGTCCATTGACAAGTTAGATGATTATTTAAAATTTCATGATAGTGAGAATACTCTAAGCTTAATAGGTAATTTACCGGATGAATTATATTTAGTCATGAAAGCAGTGTTTCCAAGAGAGTTAAATTCTAGTTATGATAAAACATTATATTCATTCAAGTGTTTATGTAATTATAAATCGGCTACAGAAATAAAAGATAATTGTTCTAATAAAAATTTTAGTAAATCTAATAATGAGAATTGTTATAAAAATAGAAAATTGGATAAAGAAACACATTATTATAAAAGAAATTATCATTATAATTATAAATCTTTTAGTATAAAAAAATTAGATATTGAATTAAAACCTTCTTATAAACTAAAAGAAATAAATTATATAATAAAATTTAAAACATTTGTGATTATAAAAAATGAGGAAAATATAAATATACCCATAAGATCACATGGTGAGATTTTAAAAAAGTATTATGACTGTAAAAATAATGATATAAATCTTAGTACTGAAAAAATTAATGAAACTGAAATAGTTGAAATTCCCATACACAAAAATTTTAAAAAAGTAGAATCCAAATCATTAAAGCTTGACAATTATAAATTTAAAAAAATCAAGAGAGTAGACAATACAAATAAACATTTACCTTATATAATTAATGATAAAGTGGACGAATCTTTCAAAATTAAAATTTTAAATACAATGAAATCTAAATTATGTTTTAAGGACAAAACATATGTAAGTTATATTGACCACTTTAAAACATTATTTTTATTGAAGATAAAAGAAAACAGTAATTTTGAGTTATTATTTGATTTAAAAAACAAGGGAGTAAAATTTAAAAAAAATAAAAATAATTGAAATTTAATATTAATAAAAAATTATTAAAAATAAATAAATAAAATTGAAATTTATATCAAACGCTATTATTTAAAACGCGATATTTATAATATAATAAATTAAAATAAAACGCGACCAATCAATTCATATTATTTCGATTATTCAACATTTGATTAATTTATTCTACTTCAATTATTCTTATTCAAAATTCGATATTCGTTAAATTAATTCTATTTCGATTATTTGGAGATTCTTATTCAATATTACATATATTCTAAAATTATTCAATAACAAATTATGATAATAATTAACAATAGGACGACAAAGTCGAATCACATACTAAACCGTTTTTTTTAAAAGATTTGGAGGGAGCAAGGCAAGATAAGATTTTACAACCAAAATAACTATCATTTATCAAGACGAAACTATGAAAGATTTTATGATCAAAATAGATGGGAAACTTGAACACAAAAGATAAAGAGAACCTAGGCGGCGTTCCTATAGAGGGTGGAATGTTAAA